TGAACTCCTGACCTCAGGTGATCCACCCGCCTCGGCCTCCCAAAGTCCTGGGATTACAAGCGTGAGCCACTGTGCCTGGCTGGATTCCAGACACATTTTAAAGATGGAGTTTTCCTAATGGACTGAATGTGAGGTATGAGAGGACGAGGGAAGTTAACAATGACTCCAGGATTTATGGCAAAGCAACTGGAAAGGTTTCCACACAAGAATCGCTTGAACCTAGGAGGCAGAGGTTGCAGTGAGCCAAGATCACACCACTGCGTTCCAGTCTGGGTGATAGAATGAGACTCTCCCTAAAAAGAAAAAACAAGCCAGGCGCGGTGGCTCAAGCCTGTAATCCCAGCACTTTGGGAGGCCGAGGCGGGTGGATCACGAGGTCAAGAGATCAAGACCAACCTGGTCAACATGGTGAAACCCCGTCTCTACTAAAAATACAAAAAATTAGCTGGGCATGGTGGCACGTGCCTGTAATCCCAGCTACTCAGGAGGCTGAGGCAGGAGAATTGCCTGAACCCAGGAGGCGGAGGTTGTGGTGAGCCGAGATCGCGCCATTGCACTCCAGCCTGGGTAACAAGAGCGAAACTCCATCTCAAAAAAAAAAAAAAAAAAAGAAAAAACAAAAGAAAAAACAAACAAACAAAAAAAATTGGGAGGCCAGGAGTGCTGGTTCACACCTGCAATCCCAACTATTCAGGAGGCTAAGGCACAGGAATCACTTGGACCTAGGAGGCAGAGGTTGCAGTAAGCCCTGTTTGCACCACTGCACTCCAGCCTGGGCAACAGAGTAAGATTCTGTCTCCAAAAAAAAAAAAAAAAAAGTATGTCGGAGGTGGGGATGGGGAGATAGTCACCAAAGGGTTATAGTTTTAGTTAGGCAGGATGAGTGAATTCTGGAGTATAGCATGTATAGCAAGGTGCCTGTAGTTAGCAATCATGTAGTTCATACCGGAAAATTGCTAAGAGAATATGCTTAAATGTCCTCATCACAAAAGAAATATGTGAGGTGATGGATATATTAGTTTGATTTCATAATTTTACAACATATGTATCAAAACATCACATTGTATAATACTGTAAATATATACAACTTCTATCATTTATACCTTAATAAAGCTGAAGGGGTTATGTTTATATAATAAACCTTTATAAAATGTCTGCAAATCATATGGTCTAATAGCTATAGATAGATACAAGTGAGAGCTTCTCTCTTAACCTTTTATTTTATTATTATTTTAACTTTAATAGAGACAAGGTCTCACTATGTTGCCCCGGCTGGTCTCAAACTCCTGGACTCAAGCAATCCACTCTCCTTGGCCTCCTAAAGTGCTGGGATTAGAGGCGTGAGCCACCGCGCCTGGCCCTTACCTGTGTTTTGAAATTTACTACATGATATGTATTTTGTTGTTGTTGTTGTTGCCCAGGCTGTCCTTGAACTCCTGGGCTCAAACAATCCTCCCGCCTCAGGCCAGGAGTCGCTGGGACTACAGGCTTGCACGCCACCGCGCAGGGCCAAGCGTGTATTACATTTTAACAACATTTTTTTTTTTTTTTTTTTTTTACATAATGAAATGTGGCTGCTGGGTGCTGACTTGTGCTGTGAGCATCATGTGAGGTGACCACGTGTGCGGACGCCTTAACTGCTGAGTCCCCGGCGGCCGCCCCCGCCGCGCTGCCAGATTGTGGGGCAGTATTTGCGTGCGGCCCTATGCGCTCGGCCCTGCTCCTCAAGAGCTGGGAACGTCGCCTGCTGCTCCCAGCGTTCCCCAGCCCACAGTGCCCGCGCAGCCAGCCCACCAGGGTTCAGCGAGCAGGAAGGACCCCCACCCAGGATGTGCGGGCGCCTCACCCGCCGTGATGGGGCTCTGGCGCCCCCAGGTCTCCGGCTCAGGAAGTGCAGGAGGGCGTCTTTGCTTTGAGACACGCGACTCCTTTGCTGACATCTAAGACCCCATTATCTGTGGGGCCTCAGGGTCTTTGCTGAGGCCTAGGAGAGGAAGGGTTTCCTTCTTTGAAACTGCCCAACCCCAACAGGGACCCTTTCCTCAAACGTTCTATTTTTTTTTTTTTTTTTTTTTTTTGACACGGCGTCTTGCTCTGTCACCCAGGCTGGAGTGCAATGGCATGATCTTGGCTTACTGCAACCTCCGCCTCCCAGGTTCAAGTGATTCTCCTGCCTCAGCCTCCTGAGTAGCCGGGACTATAGGTGCGTACCACCACGCCCAGCTAATTTTTTTGCATTTTTAGTAGAGACGAGGTTTCATCATGTTAGCCAGGATGGTCTCCAGCTCCTGACGTTGTGATCCACCCACCTTGGCCTCCCAAAGTGTTGGGATTACAGGCGTGAGCCACCGCGCCTGGCCTACCTCCTTACTCTGAACCTCCCTTCCCCAAAGGCACTGTGGGGTCTCAGCCCATGGTGGAATCAGGAGTGTCCAGCATGACCTCAGGGGCCCTTCTGCTCTCAGTAATTTTGCTTTCTCACACATTTTCCCATGATCCTGGCCAGACGTGTCCTTTTCTCACTGACTCTTGACTGCAGGCTCAGCTCTGCCCAGGGAACATAAATAAACTTCCAGACTCTTGGGAACTGTGCCACCTTCGAGCTGAGAGGCCTGAGTTCCAGTGGCCTAGGAGCCAATACCTACCTCTCAAGAAAGTATGAAGGCCAAATGAGATGCTGTGGAAATGCTTTGGAAACTAGGAAGGGCCAGAGAAAGGCTGGCCTATAGAAGTCATTTTTCCTGTTTGGGACCCCTCCCTCAGTCTGGCCCCCAGGTTAGAGCACCCTCTGAGGCTACTTGTCCGGACACCTCCCTTTGTCTGCAGTTTGTTTTCTGACTCCCACCAGGGTGTACTTTCCCTGAGGACACTGGACATCTTGTCTTGTTCATTTACCAATCCCCCAAACTAGGCACAACGTGGCACAAAGGGACATTAACTGCTCCTTTCCTCTGCCCTCTCCTGTAGCTTCTGTTCCCTCCTCCCCGGGGTGTCCTTGTCCCCACATCCTGATAAGGTCACCATCCTCAGACTGGGTCTGTATTATATGTCTTACATTCATGCTTCGCTCAGGGCTCAGCACGGAGAAAGCACTCAGTAACTGCTGGTGGACAAGGGAAGTTAGTTAGCAGATGCGTCTCTGAAGGACTTCCACTGGGAGAGAGCCACACGGCGGGTAGTGATCTTATATCAAAGCCTTTCCCCTCAGCTACCACCGAGTGCCCAGATGTGCACCCAAAGTACTCTGATCTCTAAATGTTTCCTCTGGAGCAGCGAAGGGCTGGGCAGCAATGAACAGGAGGATGCAGTCACTGTGTGGTGCCGTGTGTGTGTGTGTGGTGCCGTGTGTGTGTGTGTGGTGCCGTGTGTGTGTGTGTGTGTGTGGTGCCGTGTGTGTGTGTGTGTGGTGCCGTGTGTGTGTGTGTGTGTGGTGCCGTGTGTGTGGTGCCGTGTGTGTGTGTGTGTGTGGTGCCCTGTGTGTGTGTGTGTGTGTGGTGCCGTGTGTGTGTGTGTGGCGCCGTGTGTGTGTGTGGCGCCATGTGTGTGTGGCGCTGTGTGTGTGTGTGTGTGGTGCTGTGTGTGTGTGTGTGGTGCCGTGTGTGTGTGGCGCCATGTGTGTGTGGCGCTGTGTGTGTGTGTGTGTGTGTGTGGTGCCGTGTGTGTGTGTGTGGCGCCGTGTGTGTGTGTGTGGCGCCATGTGTGTGTGGCGCTGTGTGTGTGTGTGTGGTGCCGTGTGTGTGTGTGGCGCCGTGTGTGTGTGTGGCGCCATGTGTGTGTGGTGCCGTGTGTGTGTGTGTGGTGCCCTGTGTGTGTGTGTGTGTGTGGTGCCGTGTGTGTGTGGTGCCCTGTGTGTGTGTGTGTGTGTGGTGCCGTGTGTGTGTGTGGTGCCGTGTGTGTGTGTGTGGTGCCCTGTGTGTGTGTGTGTGTGGTGCCGTGTGTGTGTGTGTGTGGTGCCCTGTGTGTGTGTGTGGTGCCGTGTGTGTGTGTGGCGCTGTGTGTGTGTGTGTGTGGTGCCGTGTGTGTGTGTGTGGCGCCATGTGTGTGTGGCGCTGTGTGTGTGTGTGTGTGTGGTGCCGTGTGTGTGTTTGTGGCGCCGTGTGTGTGTGTGGCGCCATGTGTGTGTGGTGCTGTGTGTGTGTGTGTGTGCACGCGCACCTCGCCGCCATGCATGCCCGAGAATCTGCTCTTCAGTACACAAAGCGCCATCCACCAACAAAGACACCACAGCAGCCAGGGTAGAAACAACTAGTGTATTGATTTGGGGAGGAGAGAAGGGGTGCAGATGGGAAACGGGGAGGCAAGGGTTCTTTAGTGTTCGCCAAAACCACTGCCACACCCCTCTACCCCGTCTCTTGCCTTCCTTCTCTGCGGCGGGCGCCAGCAGGCTCTCACCCCTTCCAGTGACCTCCCTCTCCCTCCTCCCAGCACCCCACTTGGCTTCAACCTCCAGTGACTGCACAGAGCCCACCTAGGCTCTAAAGCTAGGGAAGGCAGCTCAAACTCACCTTTCTTCTCCCTTCTTCTACCTCCCACCTCATTCCCATCTCTTGTCTAAATAAAATACAGAAAAGCAAGCACAGCTGGTACCTGGGAGAATGGCATCACCCCGGGGTTGGGGGCAGGGTGGGGACTGGGGGCGGGGCAGGCAGAGGGACCTCAGCCAGGTATTGTGGAATCGCGGGAGGCCAGGGCCAGGGGCCGGCTCAGGCCATCCTCTCTCTTCTTCTCCCTCTCTCTCCCTCTCAGAGGCTGGCCTGGCAGTGGGCCCTGCCATCCGGAGGGGCTGGCGGAGAAGCCTCCATGCCTGCCTCTCAGGCACCATGTCACGGGGTCCCCGGGGTGGGGGTGGCAGCCAGGGCGGGAAAGCAGAAACTAGCCTCTACAAAAGCACTCCTTTCCCTTGGCTTCTAGAGGAAGCCCTCTTTGGTTTTAAGGCAGATGTGGAGTCTCCTGGAAGCAGGGGAAAGGAAGGGAGGAGAAATTAGGATGGAGATAGATGCTTTTTTTTTTTTTTTTTTGCTTGTGTTTTTCCTTCAGTATAAAACCACTGTAGAAAATATCTTCTCTTAGAAAAAAAAAAAATACAGAAGAAAAAAACCAAAGGCATATTTTTCTTTGGCTTCAAGTCCCCTCCCATGCGGTGCAGGGCAGGGGGTGGGCATGGGTGAGGAGGAAGCATGCCTCCACCCCCACCCTTGCCCGGCAGGTCCCAGATTACATGATGGTGCAGTTCTGGGGGCTCTAAGAGAGAAGAGAGAGGAGAGAGGTGTGAGCAGCAGGGCCTGGCCTGGATCCTCCCTTCCCCGGTCCCTAGAAGGGAGGTAGTGTCTCCCCTATCCCTCACACTCCAGCCCTGCCCCTGCCCTCCAGTCTGGGGCTCAGACAAGAGGGGCAGGATGCAGGGGTGGGCTGCCTAGGCCTCAGGCTGTGGGGAGGAGGCTCCCACTCCCCCGGGCTGCGGAAGAGAAGGCGGGCTCTCCCCCCTGCGAGGCCGCCTCATCCTACCCCTCAATGACCAGGGACCCGCCTGCAGGGCTTTGGAGACAAAGCAGAGACAACTCACCTGGGTTCGGGGTCTGGAGTTGCCCAGGAGGTAGGAGCGGGTGACCAGGTGGTCCCCGAAGCTGCCACCCCCACTGCCCCCCACACTGCGGTAGCTGCGAGTGACCGTGACACTGGAGGCAGAAGAGCCAGAGGAGATGGATCCGCCCACCTGGGCTCCTGAGCTGCTGGCAGACGCCTTGTCGGCAGGCTGCCCGCAGGTCCCGCACAGCACGGTGCGCGAGCGCAGGTTGTACTCAGCGGGGTCCCCCGAGCTGCTGCAGTGGGAGCCCTGGGGAGGGAGACAAGGCTCAGGCGGGACGGCGAGTCTGGGACTGACCACTCAGGCCCAACACCCAGGCCCTGGGCTCTTGCAGGCTCCAGCCACCAGGCAGGAAGGTGGGGTTCTGTGCCCAAGGAGCCAGCGGGCAACAGGGGTTTGGGAGGCCAGGGGCTGGGAGGAGGGGAAGGAAGACGAGACATAGGAGAAGGCTCAGGAAGACTTGGGGACAGAGAACCAGAGCGGCGACTCTGACTCTGTTCCAGCCACTCTGAGCTTAAAAGGAAAGGAAGAGAGAAAGGGAGCATGCTTCTAGGGCGGCAGGCATGCACTATTAATTGGAGGCGGGGCAGGAATGAGAGAGAACATTCTTGCAGGAAAAATGAGGGAAGTGAGAGGATATGCATGCAACAGGAGTGGGGGAGAGAGGCAGGGCGGGCATGCCCCACGTCTGTCCTCCCGTCCCCTTCCCAGGAGACAAATCCAGACCCTTGTCCACTGCTCCCACAGGAATATTCCATGGCATCAGAAAGTTCCCACTCCCTTCCTTACCAGAGTAGGGCACCCAGACACCTGGGTTCCCTGTTCAAGGTATAGGGAGGAGAGAGAAGAAAGGCCAGGCCAGCGAGTGAAGTTCCAAAACATTCTTTAATGAAAAGATTTTTGGCACGGAAGGCTGGGGAGAGGCTGCCCCCAGGCCTGGCTGGGTGGTCCCAGTGCAGGCTCGGCCTCAGCGGCGGCTGCCACTCACGTGGTGGTGATGGAGCAGGTCATCTCCATCCTCATCCTCGTCGTCCTCAACCACAGTCACCGAGCGCACCAGCTTGCGCATGGCCACCTCCTGGCAGGGACACGGGACCAGGCCCGAGGGTCAGGGCCAGGGAAGGGATGTGCAGCATGTGTACCCCGGTGACCACCTGCAGCTTTCCTTCTGCCCTTTGTCCGGCCTGCTGCTTACTCTGCCCTCTGCGATGACGGAGCTAAGGGGCTCATTTCCACCCCAGAGGGACACTGTCGAGCTCTCCGGGTAGGAGTATGACTCTGCTTTAGCGATCCCCACTCACTGTCTTAACTTCCACCCCGCATGCTGTTGGGAAGCATCTTTTGGTTTGTCTACTGGCTGGGGACATCTGGGGCCTGCACCACCAGAGAGCGCTAGAAAGGGGCCCTGAATCGGTAAACTTGGGTTGGGGGCAGCTGGCTCCGACGTTGGCCACTAGGGGGAGCCTCGTCTCGGAAGCAGCCCGGCCCGGGCATACGTACTTCCCCAGTGGAGTTGATGAGAGCCGTGCGCAGGCTGTTCCCGCAGCCCCAGGTGTTCTGTGCCTTCCACACCAGGTCGGTAGGGGGGCTATGGGTGGCCCCAGCGCCTGCAGCCCAGATCTGGAGAGGAGGGATTAGAAAAGGACACTGACTCTAGTGCTCCCATCGCCACCCAGGGCCTCCCCAGAGTCCCAAGCGCCGCGCCACTCACCGTCACCACCTGCCCAGCCTTCAGGGTGAACTTCGGTGGGAAGCGGTAAGTCAGCAAGGGATCATCTCCATTCTGGCGCTTGATCTGCCAATTGCCCATGGACTGGTCCTGCCGGGAAGATAGAGAAGAGGAAGGTGGGGGAGGCTCACCCAAGCTCTTGGGTGTATCTTGGCCTTTCCTTCCATCTACACCTACCCCTGTCCCTGCCCTTCCCCCTGGGGATAACAGCCATGATCTGTGGACACATACGCAGCGCCAGGCACACAGATACCTTATCTGTCATCTTCCTGACAACTCAAAGACTTAGGGATCATTATTCATCCCATTTAACGGATGAGGAAACTGACCCTCTGAAAGGTTAAATAACCTGTTCAAGATCTCACAGCCAAAGAGTCCAGGAGCCAGGCCTGGGACTAGAGTGTGGAGGAGATGTACAGGCTCACCCTGGTCCACCCTCTGAGGGGAGGGATGTTCCTCTCTCCACACGCCATCCCTCTGTTTGCCACTCTCTCCCTGATGCAGCCGTATCCCCTGAGACCCTGACCGGAAGCCTACCTCGTTGGACTTATTGCGCAGCCGGACGAACTTGCCGTCCTCGTCCACCTCCTCCACAGCCACGCGCCCGCTAGTGCGTGCGTGCTGCGAGAAGCTGCTGCGGCTCTCGGTGGACTCCAGCTTGCGCTTTTTGGTGATGCTGCCCGTACCCTGTGTCTGGGACGAGTGGGAGGAAGCACGGCCGCGGCTCCGCTGGGAGGTGGGGCTGGGGGACAGGCGTAGCCTAGGGAGAGGGAGGCCAAGTGGGGGTCTGGTCAGGGCCGGTGGCCGGCCAGAGGCCACCGCCGCCACCTCCCCGACACCTCCCCAGCTCACCTCTCCTCCTCGCCCTCCAGGAGCTTGCGGTAGGCATGGATCTCCATGTCCAGAGCCAGCTTGATGTCCAGCAGCTCCTGGTACTCATCCAGCTGCTGCTGCATCCTTGCCCGCATTTCGGCCATCTCCCGCTCCTTTTCCGCCAGCAGCCGCCGGCTGGTGTCCCGCTCACGGGCCAGCGAGTCCTCCAGGTCTCGAAGCTTCGCCTCCTTGGCTGCCAGCTGGGGAGGAGGGGGTGGGGGGGCTTGGTGAGCTCCCAAGGGCCCCAAGTATGGAGGAAGAGGGACATGGCTACCCTCTCCAGAATCTGCAATCAGAGGCTTCCCCAGAGCCCATCACAAGCTCTAAACATAGTCTTGGCTGGCAACTGGGAAGTCCTTCCCCTTGTCTAACTGAACTCTCTCACTCTGAAGCTAGACCCTTTTTCTCCCATCACAGATGGCACAGCCAGCTAGAATAATACTGATGCTTTTAACACCTCACATTGCAGAGTCTTACGGCAACTCTGAGTTAGTGAGATTAAGAACAGCTTCCATTTCCGAATGGGAAAATCAAAGCCCTGAGAAGTGAAGGCAAGGTAAGAGCACAGAAGCAGCACACAGCCCAGCTGACGCCGCATCCAGTGACCCTTCTCTGTAGTCCTGGGGACATGTTTCGTCCCTGTCCTCCTCAGGAACACCCTCCCCACAACCCGGCCCCGAGCTTCCGGCCTGCATCCTGCCCAGACTCCAGGCCCCTGGCGGGAGGGGTGAGGTGGGGTATCACCTGCTTCTGCAGCTGGCTGAGCTGGGCGGACAGGCTGTCGATGCGGATGCGGGACTGCTGCAGCTCCTCGTGGGCGGCCCCCACCAGGTTGCTGTTCCTCTCAGCAGACTGCCGGGCATTGTCCAGCTGCAGGGGACGACACAAGGTGAGGACTGTGATGACCAAGAGGGTGGAGGGACAGGCCTGAGCTGGGCATCACTGCCACAGCCTTGGGTCCTGGGCCGCCCTGAGCTCCCCGTCACCCTCTGCCTCATCCTCCCGGTGCGACAGCCCAGCGTGGGCAAGCCCAGGGTTCAGGGCTGCTGCGGGCAGAGGCAGCGAGGGAACCCGGGGAGAGCGGGCACCTTGGCGGAGTAAGTCTTCTCCAGCTCCTTCTTGTACTGCTCCACCTGGTCCTCATGCTGGGCCCTCAGCTCCTGCAGGGCGTCCGCCAGCCGGCTCTCAAACTCACGCTGCTTCCCGTTGTCAATCTCCACCAGCCGGGTCTCGTGGCGGCGCTTGGTCTCACGCAGCTCCTGGAAGGGTGGGAGCAAGGACCCAGAAACCAAGGTTAGTTCCTGGGAGACCAAGACCCAGGGGCCGGGCTCCCTGCCCAGCTCTACCCCATGAGCCACTGCCAGCCCCACTTTAACCTGGGAGCTGGGTGCTGGCCAGGCCCAACTCCCTGTCTGCTAGGGCAAGGAACTCGGGGAGGCGAGCTCTGCATGAAGCTGGTCCCCGCAGCCCGAGCCTGTCATCCCCCAGCCCCATCTCTGGCCTGCGAAGCACAGTCCCCACCTCGCTGTAGATGTTCTTCTGGAAGTCCAGTTCCTCCTTCAGGGTCTGCAGCCTGTTCTCAGCATCCACCCGCCGCAGCATCTCATCCTGAAGCTGCTTCTTGGCCTCACCCAGCGCTGCCTCAAGCTGTGAGGAGGCATGTGGAGGTCAGGAAAAGGGGGTCACAGAACACAAGGACCGGAATGAAGCTGAGAGGTGGGCTGCTGCCCGTGCACCCCTTTATACATGTGGAAACAGGTCCGGGGAAGGAGGGCCTTGGGTGGCTGCAGAGGTCAGAGCATCCACTCACTCCCTCTCGGGAGCTACTGTGCTAAGAAAGCAAAGCTACGTGTAACACAAAAAAGTAGCCGGGCATGGTGGCACATGCCTGTAGTCCCAGCTACTCAGGAGGCCGAGGCATGAGAATCACCTGAAACTAGGGGGCGGAGGTTGCAAGGAGCTGAGATCGCACGGATGGACTCCAGCCTGGGTGACACAGTGAGACTCTGTCTCAAAAAAAACCAAACAAAAGAAAAGATATATGCCCCATAGCCACAGGACTCCCTTCTCTGGCACAACATAGCAACTGCTATAAAGGAGGTATGTGAGAAGTATCAAGGCGACATCAGAGAAGGAACCAAAGTATGCCCGGGGTGGTTGTGGGGGTCTCTGGGAAGGCATCTAAGAGGCTGAGACCCAAGGTTCAGGTAGCGGGGCCTACAGAGTTACTGTCGTGACTTCAAGGGCAGAAACAAGCATGGGCAGGCACAGGGATATGAAGGCATACGTATTCTGGGGTCTTTGGAAAGATCAGTGCTGCTGAAGCCTGAAGTATGGGGTGGGAAGGGATGGGAGAGGTAGCTGGGTCAGTAGGCAAGGGCTGAAGAGATGCCCTTACCTACCATGAAAAGAACCTGATGACGTTTGAGCAAGGAAGCACAAGGTGGCAGGCACCTGTAATCCCAGCTACTCAGGAGGCTGAGGCAGGAGAATTGCTTGCTTGCTTGCACCCTGGAGGCGGAGGTTGCAGTGAGCCAAGAACATGTCATTGCACTCCAACCTGGGTGACAAGAGTGAAACTCTGTCTCCAAAAAACAAACAAACAAACAAAAAAAAACACCAAAAAGAAAGCACAAGCTGATCTAGGCATGGTGGCTCATGCCTATAATCCCAGCATTTTGGGAGGCTGAGGCAGGAGGATCTCTTGACGCCAGGAGGTCAAGACCAGCCTGGACAACATAGAGAGAACATGTCTATGTTCTAATAAAAAGAAGGCAAGGAAGCAGCGACTGACCAGGAAGGGCTGGGGGAAGGGCAGAGCTGGGAGGCAGGAGATCAGACCCAGGAGGAAGGTGGCCCAACCTTGGTCCGGTGATCGACCTGCTGGCTTCTCCGGGTCTCTCCCTGTTATACTGTGGTAGCAGGGCCTGGGAAAGGAGAGCACCCAGGATGGAAACTTGGCCACTGACTCGAATCCTGGCCCTGCTGTGAACAGATGAGACTGTGAAATTAGGAACAAACTGCTTCTGATTCCGAGCTCTTTCTTAATTATTTTATTTTTTTGAGACAGAGTCTCACTCTGTCACCTGGACTGGAGTACAGTGACCCGATCTTGGCTCACTGCAACATCTACCTCCCAAGTTCAAGCGATTCTCCTGCCTCAGGCTCCCAAGTAGCTGGGATTACTGGTGCCTACCGCCACACCCAGCTAATTTTTGTAATTTTAGTAGAGATGGGGTTTCGCCAGGCTGGTCTTGAACTCCTAAACCCAGGCGATCCACCCGCCTCTGCCTCCCAAAGTGCTGGGATTACAGGCATGAGTCACTGTGCCCAGCTTTTTTGTTTTTTTGTGATGGAGTTTCATTCTTGTTGCCCAGGCTGGAGTGCAATGACACAATCTCAGCTCACTGCAACCTCTGATCCCGGGTTCAAATGATTTTCCTGCCTCAGCTTCCCAAGTAGCTGGGACTATCGGTGTGCATCACCACACCCAGTTAATTTTGTATTTTTAGTAGAGATGGGGTTTCACCATGTTGGTCAGACTGGTCTTGAACTCCTGACCTCTAATGATCCACCCGCCTCAGCCTCCCAAAGTGCTGGGATTACAGGCGTGAGCCACCGCACCTGGCCCAATTCCTAGCTTTTAACATGATAAATTGGAGGAGAGTGTTTCGAAAGTAAAGGCCACTATATATACAGAAAGCATTGGTAACACATCTCCCATACGTAATTAGCCATCCACTTCTGATAATGGCCTCAACAGATGATCCACTCCATTCCTCCTTTCCTCCAGAGAGATCACAAGCTGTCTATAGGAGGGCCAGACTGGGAGGGATCTAGGGCTGGGTACAGTTCATTTCAAAGTTAAGTAGAAATGGCTTGTAGATTCTCTTATTTTATGTATTTATTTATCTAGACAGGGTTTCCCTCTGTCACCCAGGCTGGAGTGCAGTGGTGCAATCACAGCTCACTGCATCCTTGACCTCTCAGGTTGAGGCCATCCTCCTGCCTCAGCCTCCTAAGTAGCTGGGACTGTAGGTGTGCACCACCATGCCCAGCCAATTTCTTTAAATTTTTATTTTCTAGAGATGGGGTCTCACTGTGTTGCCCAGGCTGGTCTCAAACTCCTGGGCTCAAGCAATCCTGCCTCCTTGGTCTCCCAAAGTGCTGGGATTACAGGCATGAGCCACCACACCTGGACTCAATTATTTTAAATTCACTCTGCGAGATCCGACGGGTGGCCAAATTAGGATAAGATGTGGCCATGCCAGGAGTGGTGGCTCACACCCGTAATCCCAACACTTTGGGAGGCTGAGGCAGGCAGACCACAAAGTCAAGAGATTGAGACCATCCTGACCAACATGGTGAAACCCCATCTCTACTAAAAATATAAATAATAGCTGGGCATGGTGGTATGTGCCTGTAGTCCCAGCTACTCAGGAGGCTGAGGCAAGAGAATGGCTTGAACCCGGGAAGCAGAGGTTTCAGTGAGTCAAGATGGCACCATTGCATTCCAGCCTGGTGACCAGGCGAGACTCTGTCTCAAAAAGAAAAAAAAAAAAAAATGTGGCCTCAGTGGGTGAAATGACTCTAGGACAGGTGAATGGCTCTGAACTCGGGTGACAGGTCAGACCAGGCACCTCCTGAGGGAGGCCCTAGGTAGAAGAGTGAGTGTACAGGTGTTAGGTGGGGCCATGGCCGAGCCCTGCAGGGTGGCCTCACCTTGGCCACCTGGCCCCGAAGATCATGCAGCTCGCCCTCCAGCGTGCGCTTCTCACTGAGAGCAGTGCTCAGTGCGGCCTCCTTGGAGTTGAGCAGAGCCTCCAGGTCCTTCAGCCGGGCCTGAGCAGCCAGCAGATCACCCTCCTTCTTGGTATTGCTAAAGAAGAGAGGGGAGGGTGGGTTTAAGAAAAGGAGTCTGCATACCTAGACATCGCCAGGCTCCCCAGAGGTAGCCACGGGGGCTGGCGCTGCTGTTCCCACAACTACCAGGAGAGGGCACCCTTGCATTAGGTTGGTTTCCATCTGCTTGCCTCTGGGGCTGGGCTCCCACCTCCCCAGGGTCCCTGCTTCTCCACCCCGCCCATGACTCAAGGTTCAGGAACGTGCCTGGGGCCAACGGCAGAGCGCTACCCCATGATATGAATGCTTTTCCCTCTTTCTCCTCCCATTCTTTCCCAAACAGACAGGGGTACCTTTGTCTCCTGCCCCTTCCCACACAGGGCCTTAGCTTTCTCCCTGGACCCCACCCACTTCCCTTTGGCCAAGCTTCCCTCCCTCCGAGGAGGAGCCCGACGACTAAGCTCGTAGCCACGAGTCCCACACGTCCCTAAGACTTCTTGGTCTGGGCCCCAAAGGCGCTTGCTAGTCTCCTCTCCTAGTCCCTTTTACACACGTGGGACTGCGGGCAAGGAAAGTCTGGTTAGAGCTCAGAGGGACCTCGGACAAGGACAGCCACGGACAATATTGATCTTTTCCTTTCTCAGGACCCAGTCTGGGTGCCCTGATCTGCACCGAACAGAGGGGTCCCTGCGTCCCTCCCTCCTGCCTCATCCGCACCCTGGGAGAAGGCTGAGTCCTACCCATCTAGCACAACCTCAGCATCTGCTCCAGATGTGGCTCCCAGGCCTCCAGGTCCATCTGGGCCCCAGCTTTATGTCTCCCTGGTCCCCAAAGTAGGTAAAGCTTTAGCTATGACCAATGGAACAGCGCCGTCTCTGCCACCTCTCTCACCTTCTCTGGGTCCCTGATTATTTTTGCTAGTGGAGTAGAGAAACAGAGGAGTCTTATTTTCTTTCTTTCTTTCTTTTTTTAAGGTTCTTTCCTCCAATGACATAGCTTTTTTTTTTTTTTTTTTTTTTTTTTTGAGATGGAGTGTTCTCTTGTTGCCCAGGCTGGAGCGCAATGGCGCGATCTTGGCTCACCACAACCTCCGCCTCCCTGGTTTAAGTGATTCTCCTGCCTCAGCCTCCCGAGTAGCTGGAAGTACGGATATGTGCCACCATGCCTGGCTAATTTTGTATTTTTAGTAGAGATGGGGTTTCTCCATGTTGGTCAGGCTGGTCTCGAACTCCCAACCTCAGGTGATCCACCCACCTGAGCTTCCCAAAGCGCTGGGATTACAGGCGTGAGCCACCGCGCCCGGCCTGAGTCCTATTTTCTTTAAAACCTCCAGAGAACACAGGCACTGTCTAGACGTTACAATCCTTTCACAAACATAGGGTACGAGAAAGCAGTAGACCCAGGGAGCAGAAAGAGCCGAGGGACCCGGTTGCAGTTGCCATCTGTAACTCATCAGCGCTTAAGCACGAGCCCACCACAGCAGATGGAAAAAAGGAAAAGCAAGCGTGGGCAGGAGGAACAGTCTATCCTGGAGAGGAGAAAGGCGGCCCTGCCAGCATTCTTCTCCTGCCACAAAGCCCTAAACTCCGAGAGGCCCAGCAATTCACTCTGGAGAGGGAGAGCAAAGGCCAGACTTGCAGAAGCTCTGGAGGACAAGACCAGGCAGTGTTCTGCCATCAGCTTAGGAGAGTTCAGAAAAAGGAGTTTCCCCCCACCTCCCTCTACCAGGCAGGGAGGAAGATAAAGTGACGCCCAGAGGGGCAGGGGAAGGACGTGAAAAGCCAGAGGGAGCTCCCCAGGTCTGCACCCTTGCTCAGCCCAGGCCTCCGGCCACACCTCAGAACAAGTTGTTTAACGCAACTGTGTCTGTCTCCTGCAAAAAAGGGGCCCTTCCAGAACCAGAGAATGTATTCCCTCCTCCGTCGCAGTCAGAAAAGCTAAAAATAAAGTCAAAACCCAGCTCAGGTTTTGGCTGCCATCCGGCCCAGCCCCTGGCTGGGAGCACAGCCCCAACTTTCCATGACTTCAGAACTTTTCCGAAGCTGAAGAGCTGCAGGGGGAGGAGGGAGAACGAAGCAAAACCCCTGGTAAAGTGAAGTGGCTGGGGCAGACTTAGATTCGGAGCTCCTTGGGCCGACTCCCAGGCTGGCTGGGGCTTCCCAGAAGAGGCCTCACTACCCTGGAGGCTAACAGCTGCAGCTGGCTGTTCTGGGGGCTCTCCGGATTTAGAGAACTAGAAAGAGCTTAGAGTTGGTTCAGCTCAACCCTCTCCCTGATATAGATGAGGAAACTGAGGTGCAGAGGAGGAAGGTGAATGGCCTGGTGTCAGCTACTGCAAACCAGCAGCGGCATTCCGGCCAATTCTGGCTGCTGATCTAGGGTTCCCGCTCCTCCACCTCTGCCTTCCTAAGCCACAAGTTCCAGAGAGAACAGAGAAGCCAGGAGGAGGAAGAGGACAGACACTATGGCCCAAAACGTTCCCCTGACCAGCCAGCCTGAGCCGAAAGAAGCTGGAAGGCGATGGATGGTTTCGGAAGATGTCTCAAGGGCATCTCTTCCCTGGTCCTGCCTCCCCAGCCTCCTTAGGTGCTAGGAGGAATTCCAGGAGTTCCCCCTGGTAACAGGCTTTCCTTGCCAGTGCCTGGCAGACACTGACTGAGGAAAAGAGAGATGCCTGGTCCCTGTGCCCTGCAAGCTTACGGGCTGATGAGCACACAAGTTTTTCCTTGTCTAACCTCCACTTTCTGCTGCTCACAAAAGTGATGGTGGTGGTGATAATAATAATATAATAGCAAACACTTTTGTAGAACTTATTAGGTACCAAGCACAGCTCTAAATATTACAGAGTTAACTCATGTCATCTTCACAGCTACCCTATGCTAGAGGTGCTATTCCTGTGTAATTGAGGAAATAGGCATGGAAAGCTATGTCCAGGGTCCCACAGCAAGGAGACAGGGGAGCTGGAAATCGATGCTATACCACTTTGGCACAAGCCACAGTATATGGTCTCCAAAGAAAGTAAGGGGGCTGGCCAGGGGTGGTGGCTCACGTCTGTAATTCCAGCACTGTGGGAGGCTGAGGCGGGTAGATCACGAGATCGGGAGTTCAAGACCAGCCTGACCAACACGGTGAACCCTCGCCTTTACTAAAAATACAAAAATTAGCTGGGCATGGTGGTACTCACCTGTAGTCCCAGCTGCTAGGGAGGCTGAGGCAGGAGAATCGCCTGAACCCGGGAGGCAGAGGTTGCAGTGAGCCAAAATCATGCCACTGCACTCCAGCCTGGGCAACAGAGCAAGACTCTGTCTCAAAAAAAAAAAAAAAAATTAGCCGGGTGTGGTGGTTCACATCTGTAGTCCCAGATACTTGGGAGGCTGAGGCATGAGAATTGCTTGAACTTGGGAGGCAGAGGAGGTTGTAGTGAGCTGAGATTGTGCCACTGCACCCTAGCCTGGGTGACAGAGTGAGACTCTGTCTCAAAAAAAAAAACCAATCAAAATGTATAGCTGGGTGTGGTGGCATGCGCCTATAGTCCCAGCTACTTAGGAAGCTGAGGTGGGAGGACCACTTGAACTCCGGAGGTGGAGGCTGCAGTGAGCCGAGACCGTGCCGCTGCACTCCAGCCTGGGTGACAGAGCAAGACTCCATCTCAAAAAAAAAAAAAAAAAAAAGAAAGTAAGGGGGCTATTTCTCTTTCCCTCGTGGAGGTTTTGACTAGCACTGCAAAGAGAGATTAAAGGACTGAGACACACCCTGAAGATGAGAGAAACCACGAGCAGAGAGGGAAGCGAGAAGGAACCTTTGTGGTTTTCTTAGGCGTGGTGGGGAGCTCCCATCTTCAGGGAAGAAGCCACTATCAGCCATGGGCTCATGACTCAGACCTCGGGAGCTCTGTGGCCAGGGAGCCACACGCACACCCCAAGAGATGGCTAGGGGTACAGCAGAGCCCAGTATCTTTCCTCCCCCCTCCCTTAGCCTCCTGCCCCCACCCCCAGTGCCATTTCCTTCCTAGGAGGGGTCCTGAGACCTAGCAGGGACCAAAGTAGACCCTGACCAGGCATTCAGCCCCAGGGTGGTGGTGCAGCCCAGTCCACTGGGGGTTATCGGGAAAGCTGGGCACATGCTGGGTTGGCAGGGAGGACAGGGTGGGGCAGGCCAGAGGAGCTGGGAAGGGTGGGAAACTGGGCCCCTCAGGTGACTCATGCTCAGGCACACAATACCCGGGCAGGGGTCGGGAAATCCTCTAGTGCTCACAGGGGAGACCCTGGCTTCGCCTGCGTCCTGCCCCAGGCCGGGTGCCGTGCCAGGAGAGCGCCAGCCCTTTCCCTTGCATCCTCCAGGTTCCCCAAGCACAGGAGTGGCGGCATCCCAGTGGCCTCGTGAGGCAAGAAGGGCTGGGCATCCTGTTTCTAACTCTTCCCATCGCTGGCAAATCTGATCTCAGACAGAGGGAAGAGAGGGGATGCGGAGAGGAGGAGAGCAGAGAGAAAAAGAATAAGGTGGGAATGAGAGTTGGCACTTGCAAGCGTGACCCAAGGCAGGGGTCTGCGGGGCTGTGGCTGGCGGGGCAAGGAAGCCTGGCTCCCGGGCAGCAGCAGGCCTGGGCCCTTGGAGCTGTTTTGGGGAAGAAAGTCACCGGCACAGCAAAGGGGCTGGGTGGGCACCGGGCCAGGCGCTGACCCGCCCGCTGAGTCACCCTGCTCAGCCCAGCTCCGACGCCAGATATGGAAGCCAGGGCCGGCCGCAGGCCTGTTTGGGCCCGGTTGCTGGGAGCAACGTGCTAGGCCCGGAGGGAGAGGCTTCCATTTCCTCTCCCAGTCTGGGGGAGAAGCAAGAGGGACAGACACTGGGGCTGAAAATAAGAAGTGGGTCTCTCAAAAGGAGAATAAAAGAAAAAAAAGAAAAGAAAAAGAAGTGGGAGGGAAAGACAAAGGGGTGGAGGAGCTGGCTCAGCCCTGCAGGGACTCCTTAGACCCCCCCCCCCCAGTCGCCGGCAGCCCTGCTCACCAGCCCTCGGAGTTCCCCATCTCCAGGCAG